ATTTTATTAACGTAGCTAGTAGAAGTTAATTTATAAATTGAAAAGAATCAGAAAACTGTAACCAAGAAGCAGAGAGGCGGCGATTGTGATCAACTAGAAGACGTCGCTAGAGTTCGAACTAACTCCAGTAAAAATACGCGTTGTTTTCTCAGCAAGCGAATTTGTAATAATCAGTAATCGAGATCAAGAAACCCAAACTAAACCCGGAACTAGTGAGGAAATTTTAGAATCATCAGATGCATCTTCGGTGGCAGTATTAAAGTTTATTTCTACACCCTGTACTTTTAATATACTCAATGTATTAAATGTCTGTTTGTGTATTTTTACATGATTTTTGTGTTGTACAAAATTGTAATTACATTGTTTACTCTGTTTGCTTCAATAATACACATTTGTTCAACAAAGAGCCTGAGAATATAATATTATTGTTAGACTCCTTCGATAATGACTGATAATGTAACCGCTTCGGCCTTCAATGTAAAAAATGACGTCACCGGTGGATTTTTCCACCGGTGATATTTGGCGCGCTGCAAGTGACAAAAGTCCTTTCCACAGAGGAAGTGAAGCGCGCCATAGAAGGGCCTGGAAAGGACTTTGGAAAGTCTAGTCCTAGACTAAAAGGGCCTATTTGGCAACTTCTGTTGTGGTTACCCAGCCTGAGGCAAAAGTAATAAATTATGAATTGTTATAAATGTTCTGTGAAGTGCACATATTTTTCCTGCAGTTAGGGACCTAGGGCCGGTTGTATAAAAACGTAGTTAGCGCTAACTGCAGTTAAAAAGTAGTTAACTCTTTTTCGTTCGCTGCTGAAATAACCAGGGGCCGTTGTATAAAACTCTTAATCACTTTTTTAATCACTATTTTGTAGTTAAATAGTGATTAACTCTCAAATACGCGCTTTTTATTGGATGACGTTTCCACTAACTATAGTTAACTTTAATCACTTTTTTATACAATCGGCCCCAGTTCTTATGTAAGACGCGTCTTGGATAAGACGCGTCTTACATAAGAATTTTGTACCTTTTATACCACAAACTCGCGTCTTACTTAAGTCGCGTCTTATCTAAGTCGCGTCTTATTTTGTTCCGTATAAATGGCCCTATTGTTACAACTTTGTGTCGTCAAACTTGTAACATTCTTGTTATATCATGACTGTATCAGACTTGTTAGAACAACCGTGTAACTAGTCTGATAATGCCATCAAATGCAATGACTTGGAATCTGGCCCAGCCCGAATTGAAGGATTTGAATAAATTATTTTTGATCCAGTCCAAGAACTGAATTAATCAGTTTGACCCAGTCCTAGGACTGGGTCAATATACTTCACCAGGTATTCAGTATTATCATGTGAGCAAACTATGTTGTGGTGTCACTGTAATAAAATGTTTTCATCATATGGTTGGCTAATGAATTATTAGTGAGTTTCAGGAGGGTCCTGAAGGGGGGGGGGGGG